CGGCACTGGATGCGATTTCGACGGCGGGTGCCATATGTTTTTTACACATCATGTGTTCCGTGTGTGGGGCGTCACTGGCGAATCAATTTGTTTGGATTCAATGCGCACGGTGGATCAAGGAACGTGTTCGCATATATTAGGGAATATCCTGAAAGAGATCATATATGAACAACGGGACGAATCACCTGCAGAGGCGTGCGCTGTGATCTGGAGACGTATTCGAAAGATTTACGACGAACGGAACATTCCCCACAGGATCACTTACCCCTGCAGACGCGCGCCCGACAGACCCCTGGGCGAGGGGGGGAGAGGGTGGGGAGGGCGGAGGGGAAGTGAAAAGGGGGGAAATGTATGAGGCACTCAGGAACAGGGTGAGAGGATAGGTAAAAGGAGGCGGTCAACTCAAGGATGGGGAAGGGGATGGAAAAAATGGGTGGGGAAAAGGGAAGACAACAAGAAAAGGAACGCTGATGATGGGGGAGAAGGGAGCACGGAACGGGGAAGAAGAAACGCCGCGTGCCCGACAGCTAGGGTGCCCCTGGCGGGCGGACATTTTGGGTTGGGCAGTTTCATTGCGAATCTGAAAAGTCCACATAGCCAGTACCCCGTTTTAAAGAAAGCAATCAAAGCAGCGCAACAGCGCTGGCTGGCTCCCGTGATATGTCAACTGAGCAAGGATTATGAAGACGGTTCTGATCTTAGAAGAATGCGAACCCTTTGTTGCGAATCGTTATGCACATACTACGATTGCTTAGATTCATCTGGAATGTTTTTGGACGCGGCCGTTGCACAAAAGTTGCAAGACGCCGTCGAAACATCGCTCATCATGTATCATGCCCTCGCGTCGCATTCGATGACAGATGAACATAGGAAAAAATGGTCCATAGTTAACAAACACCACATGTGGTGGCACATTGCAGAAGCCGCCACGTATTTGAACCCGAGGTGGCTTTGGTGCTACATGGCAGAAGATTTCATGCGACACGTTGTAAAAATAGCAGGGACGGTGCAAATTGGCTCTTCGCCCTTGCAGTGCAGCCGCAAACTGTGCGAACGCTGGAGGATTGGAAGGTAGATCAGTGGCTCCGCCAGTTGCCGCCGCGGCACTCGGGTGGGGAACAAGTCAGCAGGGCGATGGGGCGGGAGCGGTGAGTGGGGTGGGGGGGGGTAGGAACAGGGCGCGCGAGGGGGGGGGGTCAAGGGCGGGGACGGGGAGCGACGGCAGAAGGAACGGGATGGCGGAGAGAGGGTGAGGTTGGAGGAGATGCCGAAAGCGAAGAGGATACCGAAAACGAGAAAGATTAGATTTTGCAAACCTGTCCCTCCGCTCGCGGGGGGGATGGACTTCGAGATTTCACGCCCTTTTTTCTAGGTGTTCTGTGGGAGTGCCCACGCAGGTGAATGTTTAACGTTCGGGGCAGAGACCCGAACCTCGTGGAGAGAAGACTGTCGGCCTCGCAATCTTATTGCCACCGCCCACCTCCCACGCCTACTTCCGCCCCCGCCGACCCCGCCATGGCCTTCCCTGGCCGAGGGGAGCCCTCGCATGTCTCGTGCCCCTCAGGAAGATGCGCGCATTATGGTTGTCCCGAAACATAAGAAACACGGAAACATGCGCAAGAGAAAATTCATGACAACAAGTGGAAACTACATTTAAGACACATACGACACACGCAATGCAAACGCAAACATATCAACCCTACAAACGCAATGCAAAAGTAAGACACACGTAAAAACACACACCCAACAAACGTAAGACAAACGTGTGTCTTACGTTTGTCTTACGTTTGTTTTACGGTTATCGTTGCATTTAGTTGCTACCCATTTTTCGCTACCCATTTTTGTGGGGCAAACACTAGCGCGCGCGATTGTTGATCGCTACCCATTTTGCGTTTCCCGCATCATGATTGCGCTACCCATATTGACGCATGATAAAACCGGTCGCGCTACCCATTTTGCTCTCGTTCCGGTCCGCTACCCATTCTCACGCGCGCATCAATCCGCTACCCAAAAAGATCGGTCGCGCAGCATCTGGGAATGGGAGGACGATGATGAAAGGACGAGAGGGGGGACAGGGAGGACGAGGCAGAAGAGGAGGAAAAGGACGAGGTTGAGGAGGAGGATGACGAAGACGATGAGGACGAGGACGAAGACGAGGAAGAGGAGGAGGAGGATGAGGAGGAGAAGGAGGAGAGCGCAATCGACAGGGAAAGTGGAGGCCACGAGGTCCGCCAGCTCGACGACGCCCGCGTCGCCCGCGCCCGCCCCCTCACTCTTATCCGCAATTGCGGGGTGCTACATATCCTCACCTGATATTATCCTCATCTTGGTTTCGTCGAATATGCGCGTCATTCGAAAGGTGGTCCTGAGCCCCCAGGGCCCCTGAAAATATCCAGGCCTCCCAGATGGGGTCCGGGCAAACTGGCCCAGAGGACTGCACCGCATCGCCGATGCATCGGCGATGCATCGGCGATGCGGATCGATGTGTGGCCCACGTTTTCCACCCCGACGTCGCCGATGCATCGCCGATGCATCGCCGACGTCGCCGACACATAGCCGATGAATCGCCGATGCATCGGCGATGCGTTGGCGCTGTGGCATGATCCTTTGACCCCATTCATTCGGACCTACCTAGGAAGCCTCTAATCTTTGCGTCTCTCCGAACCCAGACATCCGACGTCTCGATTCTTTCCGACGCACGGGCCCACACGGGCCCCCGACCTCCCGACCACCTCCCCGGGACCGGCTATTCGTTCCGAGTCGCTCCTTGATGGTCCCGAGGTCTGACGAGGGCCTCCCAAGGCCGAAAACGATGAAAGACTTCCGTCTCGATTTTTTCGAGACGCCAAGTGTCTGTGAGAGTGGTCCAAGGCTCCTGGGGCACACGAACGGATCGATCAGGGCGTCGGACCGGTCTAGGACCCAGCCAAGCGGGCGCCCGGCGGCGCGCCCAGGTGGGGAGGGACAAACGGCGCGGGCCTGCTCAGAGGGCTCAGAACACGACAACGCCGCCCTTGAAACCCGCCGCGAAGATGAGGCCGGGGGGATGCAGGAGAGGCCGAAGTGGTTGCGGGAGCACGTCCGCGCACTTGTCATCGAGGAGGTGAGCATGGTGGCGGCTGCTCTGTACAAGGCGCTAAACCTTCGCGCCTGCCACGGGCGCAGCGACACACACGACGAACAGGAGTCCACCTACAAGAAGCCGCATCACCACTTCGGGCGCGTCCCCATCGTGTTGCACCTTGGCGAATTCCTGCAGGTGAAGCCCACCGGCAGCATCGGCCTCCTGACGGACGCGAGCGAAATCTTGGACGACGGGTCGCACATGTATGCGGGGCCGCCGACGGTGGAGATTCAGCACGCCATCCGGAATTTCTCTCGGGTCCCCTGCGTCTTCGAGCTGAAGGACAAAAAGCGTTTCGAGCCCGGGGGCCCTCTGATCGCGTTCTTGGGCTGCACGCGCGAGGGCAAGCGCTTCCCGCAAGAGGTCTAGTCTGCCCGGGAGAAAACGTTGGCCTCGGACAACCACGAATTCCTGGACCCTCGGCACCGGCACGAGAGCTTTCGGCTCGGCTGCTGACTGGGCATATACTGGGAAACGCTGGCGAGGTGGATCAAGGCGCGCGCTCGTCGCGACGCGCGGCGCCTCGGCGTCCCCTTCGTTTCCCTGCAGGCCGTAGACGAATGCGGCGCGATTCAAGGCGTTCCAGACGCGGACCGGCGCCCTGTGAACGTCCCTGACATGCACAAAACGGGGAACATCCACGGCGTCTTACTGGCACAAATTGGCATGGAGGTCCGGTTCACGGCCACGCCGGAGGAGCTGAAAAAAAACTTGGGGTTCGCGCAGGAGCAACGGGCCGCAATCGCGTCCTTCGAATTTCACCCAGACAACAAGCGGAACTACGAGGAGTTCGCGCTGGGCTATTTTTTTCGCCCGCGCTACCTACCGCAGGGAATCCGGACGCAGGCCCACGGCTTCAAGGAGCCTCCGATCTACAAGGAGGTCGCCGAGGTGCTGCTGCAAAGCGCCGAGGGCGCTAGCGACGACGGCGAGGCCGACGTGCGGGCAGCTTGCGGCAGAGCTGGACTTCGTGCTACCTCCCGCCTGAGCGCGGCCGCGACTAGCTCGGTGCCTGCGTGGTTGTCCCAACGGCATGGTCTCGTGACCCAGCGGCTCGCGGGGTGCGTCACAACGTGCTGGCTCGAAGGGTTGCCCCGACGGCTTCGCGACCCGACCACCTGTCGGCCACCGGCCACCCGCCCGTGCCGGCCGTGGCGGCGACGGCGCCGAGGAACACCGATTTGCCCCGGCCACGAGGCAGCGGAGGTGCATGCGGAGAACAAGCAGGAGGAAGATATGAGAGCGAAAATGAGGAGGGTTGCGAGGAGGGGAAGGAGGAGGAGGAGGAGGAGGAGGAGGAGGAGGAGGATGAGGACGCGGGTGGAGGAGGAGGAGGAGGAAGGGGTAGGAGGAGGAGGAGGAGGAGGAGGAGGAGGAGGAGGAGGAGGAGGAGGAGGAAGGAGTAGGAGGAGGAGGAGGAGGGGAAGGAAGAGGACGACAAGGAGGACGAGAAGGAGGAGTAACATAGGGACGAGGAGAAGGAGGAGGAGGAGGAGGAGGAGGAGGAGGAGGAGGAGGGGAGACGAGAAGGACGACAAGGAGGACGAGAAGGAGGAGTAACATAGGGACGAGGAGAAGGAGGAGGAGGAGGAGGAGGAGGAGGAGGAGGAGGAGGGGAGACGAGAAGGACGAGGAGACGGAGGGCGAAGAGGCTGAGGAGGAGGGGCAGGCGAAAACCAGGGATAAAGGCCCTCCACCAAGGCGACAAGAACACTTCGATGGGGCAAGCTCAGACTCTCATGTGGGGTCCTGTCTGAATAATTTCGCAAGAGTCTCCGAATATGAGTCGCTCCGTAGATTGACGAGCATTCTACATGCTGGGAGATTCGAACATTTTGTTTCTACGCAGCGATGCGCGACAGCTGGCACGGCAGGCCTGCACGGTCGCCACGAACTTGCCCTTGTCCTGCACCTTCGGCGCCGCGCTCCGCGCCGCGAGAACCCCTCCGCCCTCTCCTCCTACTCATTCTCCTCCCTGTCCAGACCGGACCCTATCGATCACGAAAAAACAAGAAAGACTGTCAACTCCCCATTCTGGGTCTCCGGGGGCCCTCACCAGGCCTCGGGACCGTCAACGACACGACGCAGGATGACAAACAGGTCCTGCTGAGTGGGTCGAGACCTTTGGGTGTCGACATTTTGAGTTTCGAAAGAAAACTCGCCGACCCTGTCGGCGTGTGGTAGACGCATCCCGGTGTGGTCGTCTTGCGTGGATCACCGTCGTCGTCGTCGTCGTCGTCGTCGTCGTCATCGTCGTCGTCGTCGTCGTCGTCGTCGTCGTCGTCGTCGTCGTCATCGTCGTCACCCGAAATAGAAGGAAATCGAACACGAAACAGAAGGAAATCGTAGTCGTGGCGAAGCCCCTCCCTACCCTCACCACCGTGTGGGGGGGGGGAGCAGATACGCATCCCCCCGGGCGACCCTCTCCCTCCCTCTCCCCCTCCCCCTCCCCCTGCTGCTCCTCCTCCTCCTCCTCCTCCTCCTCCTCCTCCCTCCTCCTCCTCCTCCTCTCTCTTCTCCCCTCCTCTTCCTCCTCCTCCTCCTCCTCCTCCTCTCCTCCTCCCGCCGCCCTCCTCCTCCTCCCTCCCGTCCTCCTCCTCCTCCTCCTCCTCCTCCTCCTCCTCCTCCTCCTTCCTCCCCCCTCCTCTTCCTCCTCCTCCTCCTCCTCCTCCTCCTCTCCTCCTCATCCTCCTCCTCCTCCCCCCCTCCCCTCCTCCTCCTCCTCCTCCTCCTCCTCCTCCTCCTCCTCCTCCTCACCTCCTCCTCCTCCTCCTCCTCCTCCTCCTCCTCTCCCTCCCCCCACCTCCTCCCCTCCCCCCTCCCCCTGCTCCTCCTCCTCCTCCTCCTCCTCCTCCTCCTCCTCCTCCTCCTCCTCCTCCCCTTTCTCCTCTTCCTCCTCCTCCGCCTCCTCCTCCGACACGTCTTCATTTACCTCCGACGTTTTATCACGCATCCAGTCACCCTCGAGGGCCGAGGTACCCAGGGTCGGCGGCACTGGCCGTAAGGCCTTAGCAATTACGTCGGGGGTCTGGGCTTGGGTGTCCCCAGACGGTGCTTAGAGAGACGCGGTGGCTTCGGAATTCCAAGATGCCTCCCCGCACGGTCCGTCACCGCACGGCGTTGGGACCCTGGAGGCCCCAATCGCCCAAGGCCTCCTCGGAGCACGACCAAGGCCCCAGCTCCGTGCGGTCACCCCGGCATCCCCGCTGACTCACCACACCATGGGGGTGACCGCACCGTTTCGGAGCCTCCCGACACCTGCGCACGTTCGAGGGGTCGGGGGTCGAGAGACTCAAGGCCCACGGCGTGGCAAAGAGGTCGCGCGGCAGCGGAGCTCAGAGTCCTCGCCCTCCCCCGCCAGCGGGCGCGCCCGTGCGGCGGCGACCGCGCTCCACCGAACGCCCTCTGCCCTCCATCCTCGCACCGCCCGTGCTCCCTCGCCGCTTCGTCTCTGCGACACACGTCGTCAAGGTCTCACGGCTTCCGCTGTCTCCCGGCGCGGAAAGCGTGATCCTCCTGTTCAGATACACCTGGGCGTCACGTGTATCACCTCGGCAGATCCAGCTTCGCCTCGAACTGAGTCGGGCTTCCCTGCCATAGCCCAGCAGGACGAGTGGAGAACAGTGGTGAAGTCCTTCGTTGTCGTCGCATCCTGCAGGGAGTCGCCTACGCAGCGACGCTAGGGCCGCTAGGGGATCCTGCAAGAAGACATTGTCGGCTTTTTTCTACGTGAAGAGCAAGCGCGCTGAATCATGATCTATCCACATCCACCGATTTGGAGACGTGCCACCATGAGTCTGTCTGGCACCTGAGTGCAGGATCTGGGGTTGCTAAAAATGCCCCTGGCCCAAGGTGCCCTCAGCTGTTCGCTCAATTTTGAAGCCCCTGGGGCCTTCTGGGCCTCGCGAGGGGTGCTCTGGAGGCCGTGGGGGCCCCCTTGGAAATCCTGGGGGCACTTTGGGTCAGGGGCACTTCTAGCAACAACCGACAGGAAGAGACGTCTACATCGCGGGTTTCGCGAGACACTCCAGGGCACGTGGCACGTGTTTGAACTCCGTGGGCCGCTAGCGAGCGCTGATGCCATGTGTCGGGGATCTACTGACTTGGGTCAATGCAACCCCAGGTCAGTCAGGCTTGGCAGGATCCTGTAAGATCCTGAGCGCAAGCTCGGGTCAGTGCAGACCTGGCCCTGTAAGATCCTGCAAGACGCGGCGCTCTGGCTGATGCCATTTGGCATTGCCCCACGGCTCTGCACGGTTTCCCCCGGGGCCGTAGGCACCCCCAGGACGAGGAGGAGGAGGAAGAGGAGGAGGAGAAGAGGACGAGAACGAGGAGGAGGAGGAGGAGGAGGAGGCGGTGAAGGTGGAGGAGGAGGA